ATTATTAATAATAATAATAGTAGTAGTAGTATTATTAGTAGCTGTAGTAGTACTTTTTTTTATTATTTTTTTTATGATTTTTATTTTTTGTCATCTTTTTTAATTCGTTAAACTTCTTTTCTTCCACTCTGTCTCTCTCTCTCTCTTTTTTTCTTTATGGAATCTTTTTCTTCTTATTTTCTTTTTCCTTCTTTCCTTCTTCCAACTTTTTTTTTTCTTTAATAACTAATAATTTTCTTTAAGCTTAGTGGCATAAGAATGCTCGTTGGAATTGACTCTTGTGTACAATATTTCCATTATTTATTTTTTCTCTCTCCTTTCTTCTCTTCTCCACCACATCCACCCCTTCTATTTTTAAATTTATCTCATAATTGTAAACTTCTTCACCTATCCGCAAGTTAATACCGACCGTGTCTTTTTAATTTAACAATCGTATCAGTGTCAAGTATATGTGTTTATATATGTGTGTGTATGAATGTATTTATATTACGATCGCGATTCGATCACTAAACATGTATATATGTATGTGTGTGTATGTGTATATATATATAAATGTACCTTTACTTGAACTAATTCTTGTATATTTTTCGAATAAAAAGAAAAAGAACACGCCAGATTTGTCTGTCTGTCTGTCATTTTAACCTATTGCCTTTTACTACTTCAATCTTGTCTTTCCTATTTTCCATTATCTAACCACCCGCTATCTCTTTCTCTTTCTATCTCAATTGTTTGTTTAGTTATTTTGTGGAAATACTTTCTTGGATCACCATAAATTTATCACAATAGACTTTTGTCATCTTAAAATTGAGCTTCTTACGCGCGAGTCACGACTCATACTCATTACAACAACGTCACTTAAACCACGCTTACTCTTTTAATCATCCTCTTCACTCCTCTATCTCTCTCCCTCACTCACACCCTCGCTCTATCTTTATTTCTCTTTCTTTCGTTCCAATTTTTTGTATTACTTCTACTTCTTTCTTTTTTTCCTATTCTTAGCCTGTTATTTAATATTTTTTTTAACTTTACCTCTCACTTTCTATACGCTAAAGAATCTTTTAAAAAAATCCCCTACGCTGGAAGGAGAAACGCGGTAGGTAGTTTTGTAACAATATTTACTAGCTTAATCTTAAACGTTTTAACACTACGAAAATTGATTATACTGTGACTTTAAGCACAGCCCGTGGATGAGTCGCCCCCCACCCCGTTCTTCGAAAAAAACCCCGGTTTTTTATTTCTTTGTTTTTGTTTGTTTGTTTGTTACTTTTTTACTTCTTCGGTTTCCTTTTTCCATTTTTCTTAAAGAGAGCTGCTGCCTCTCTCTCCCTTCAATCATTCTTCTTACCTTCTTTTTCTTCTTCTTCTTCTTCGTAATCTTCATCTTCATCTTCATCATCAGTTTATCTTCTTCATCTTCTATCTTTTATTCATTTCTTCCCTACTTAATCGCCTCGACAAAAGAAACGCACGTGTTTCCTAAACGACACCTCCAAAAAGTTAACATTCTCTCTTCTTATTTCTCTCTCTCTCTCTCTCTCTCTCTCTCTCTCTCTCTCTCTCTCTTTTCTTTTCTTTTCAATAAGAAAAAATCCTTCATTTTATTTTTGTTCTTCGTTCATCTACGCTAACCTCGTGTTACGGATTTCGAATTTGAACTACGAGCACGAGAACAGAGCATACGGGTGCGACGATTATCAATAGGATTCGATTATCGCACTATATATATATATATATATATATATATATATGAGTGTCAATGTTAAAATATGTTTGTGTACTTGTGTATGTCTATTTATGTATACATCATTTGATTTTCATTAAAGTGAATGTTTAAGTGTGTGTGTGTGTGTGTACGCGCGCGCACGCGCGCGCATGTATCTATGTTATTTATCATAATTATTATATGTAAAATATAAAAATGAAAGAATTCAAGTAAATCGTAAGATTCACTGATTTTTGTTTTTTCAAAATATATTTTCAATCTATCTCTGTCTTTTTTTTCTTCCCAAATTACGTTAACAGCCCTGCCTTATTATCCCAAGGACGTCAATTATTTATTTATTTATTTCTCTCTCTCTCTCTCTTTTTTTCTCGTACGTCGAAATCATGTTGCAATCAACACGATCGTTTCCACCTTTTTCAAATTCGGTTATTCGTTTCTGAAACTTAATGAAAATGAGAGTAACATACTTAAGGCAGGATTCTCGTTTTTTTCGTCGACAAAGTTGACACATGATAGTATTAAAAAGAAAAAGCATATTAAAAAATTGATTAAATAAAATCAAAAAAAGTGAGAACAAAAATAAACTAAATTTAATCTCAATAGATATAACATTAAGGAAGACAAGTTTATGCCTAAAAATTGAAATCAAATCACATATAAGATTAGTCAAAAATATAATGAAAACTATACTGTCCGGTGGCACTATGTTGTTTTCGTAAACAAATGTAAAATGTTAGACGTGAAAATGTAAGAAGTAGAAAATAAGTATTCAAAATAGAAATTTGATTCACCCTGTATAGGGCAAAAAGCTCTTTTTTGTTCTCTCGTAGTCCATAAAGAAAAAAAATATATTATCTTTAATCCTTTCGTTACGAGCGCCCACTACAGTTGCCGACTTTTTTTTTTACTTCGATGATACAATGCTTTTCCAGTAATTCCCAGATTAATTGCAATTGAAAGTTAGCCAAGAATATGTGTTCTTCATTTTATATTTGTAAAGGCAGGCAATAAGCAATCCACACGCATGTGTTTAGCAAATGAAAACAACAAATGTTGTGATGCCATTTCGATGATTTGCGTGTTGAGTTCACAGTGCTTATAACCATATATCGTCTTTATCTTTATCCATTGAATTATTATAATCTAATATACGCATACAAGTTGGATCCATTTTTTTTCTTCGTGCCTGAATACCGATACAAAATCTGTCCTATGCATATAATGTACTTATTTTTATGTTTCTCATATAATAAGACGAGACATTTGTTATGTAATACTTAAAAAAATGTACATACAAGAGAATGCTCACAATAACGTTGAAAAACGCAAATGCAAACGCCTCGTCCACTTTAGAAGACTACCGATGTGCAATTTGCACACTTTTCTGCAGGAAGTCGACTACCGTAATGAAAGGATTAAGCATAAAATGATTTATCAATGAATAAATAAATAAACGAACGAATGAATGAACCGATCAAATTGAAATGATTTTCCTCTTGGAGAATTACTTTCCGATTGTGTCGGCATTGGCGTTCCTCGTGCCGTTGGATTGACGATCGTTTAAATGACCTCTGGCTTGCCGGCTAGTAGGCTGGCCCCTGGGCTAGATGAGTGCGAGCTTTGGGGGACAGCAACCGCCCGTGAAATGCCCACTGGCTGCCTCACGTTCCCGTTTGCGGCGGCCCTGGCGTTCTGCAGTCTAATTTGTAAGGAAACATTTGTCTACATATAACCAATCTAAATCACAATAACACTCCGCTTTTTATCGGGATTAGTGATACACAACACCGAACGATCAAGCAATCCCATGAAACTCGTCAACGACAACGTTAACAGGCGCAGATCTAGCTGTCCTTCGATCCATCACGCTGATTTATTATTTCCTAACTAGTGTCCTTTTATAAACAGACATGATCATTACTTTTTTTTTACTTATTTTTTTTTTCTATAGTAGATTTTTGTTAACCTCTGTGTGAGCCTCTATCTCTACATACTTGGATTTAAATCATATAGGAAATCTCTAATTTTATTTGTAAAACAATTAAAAAAGCAAATACAAATTTCTTTATTGGAAACAAATCTCTTGTTTATTTACCATCAAGAAAATTTAAAAATAAGAACTTTCTTGATATTGAAACGAAAAATTCGTCCCTAAAAAAAGGTTGACTAACGTAATATATTTTGTTTTGGAAATAAATTGATAAAAAACCACTAGTCTAACCTGTTAATTGGATTACATCAGCAAAAACTTAAAATACCTAATTCATATTATACATGAAACTTAAACTTAAAAAAAAAGAAAATAAAAAATCGCTTAATCAAATAATTCAACAAATTAATAATAAACCAAAAACAAAAAGAAGCATCAAAATTTATACGTAATCCTAAAAAAAGCTAACTAAAAAATTAATTGATATATAATAATCTTATCCCATTAACAGGTTAACAATTGAGTAGAATTATTCGTCGAAAAAGTTGATGGAAAAATAGGAAGAATAAAAAAATATTTGACTTATTTTCAGCGCGAAGATCGAAAAACTTCTTTCGTCTACGATGGAAGCTTCGAAATCAACACGACATCATATACATATATATAGAGAAAGAGAAAAATTATATATCAATTAAAAATAATACGAGTAACATTAATGCTTCGTTACTTTCTATATGTATATATGTATATGTAACACTGACAATGAAAGACTGCAGTAACTGCGACGGACATCGGTTAGAAGTTCGTGTCGTGTAACAAGGAATACTGATCGTCGTGGTTGAAGCGATATTCAGCAGGTATCGTTCGACGTGTATTTTTTCTTTTTTTTAATTTCTTTTCTTTTTCTTTTCGTTTTTTTATTGAGCAGTGTTCGCCGGAACGATTGCCCTACTTGTTGTTTTTTTACTTACCGGTCGTGAATCGTCCCACGACAAGCTGCATTAGTACACACAGAGAAGAGGGAGACTTTAGAACTTAATTTGTCTTTCGTACGGTAAGCCTTTTTGTGTGCTAACAAGAACTCTACGTAACTAATGTGCGTGCTACATCGTTGCAACAGGAAATGCACGGGGATAGAAATCTAGGTCTGGTTTACTAACTTGATTTTAGACTGGCGCATAAATTGTTGGATCTTTCGGGCGGCTTGATGAGCCGCTTGCTGATGTACTGCCTGTTGCCTCGAGCAAGTTGATCCTGGACGAGACCGATAATTCCGATAATTGCTTTGAATTACCAGGGCTGCCTTTGTAGCTTGCCTTTAAACGTGAAAGACAATCAAAGTAGTTCAAACATTTTTTTATGATAAATTTGCAGGAACAATGAAGTCCTGAAAGGAAGTCGAAATGGATGAAAGAATAAAAGAAAAAAAAAACAGGGAGAGAAAAAAATTTGGCTTACAATCGAATAAGATTTGTATTAACTTGAAAAAAGGGTAAGTTAATCTTGTATTCGCACCGTCGCAGTTCGTTGTAAATGTAGGGAGTCAAGCGAGGGTTGGAAAGGCTGACGAAAGAGGGAGGAAAAGAAAGAAAGAAAGAAAGAGAGAGAGAGGAGAGAGAGACTGGAGGAAAAGTTGTTGAATTATTTACGACGCCAATTAAAAGTTTGCCCCGTGCGGCACGTACCTCGAACTCGAGCGTTATCGGGCTGGTTGACCTGAATCACGTTAAATTAATGTGCGGCGAACGTGCATGTCCGTATCTCTCGATAATTACTCATCGCTCGTTAAAATTAGTCGGCTGATCTCGCGAGATTCGAAGGAACGAGATGGACGAAGAGGAGAAAAAGAAAAAGACAATGGAGAGATGATTCGTTGAAAGAAAAAAGATGAGGACAAAAATAATCGTGAATAGTTGGTTACCTGTAATAAGCGCACTCCTTATGCCGACGATAATACTGTTGTATGAGAACGGCTGCGTGTCTTTCGGCTTCTTCTTGCCTCTGACGACCCTTGTAACTCCGATAGGCCTTCTGGATCATTCTCGCGGCATGATAAAGTTCCCTCTGTTCTCGATCGGACAAGGTCAACCTACTCAAGTCAGCTTCGTTCCCATCGGTATTCCCATTTCCATCATTTCCAGAAGGAAATTTCCGTTCGTTACAGCTTGGATAGTATTGACCGGCAGCGTTTGGATTGTTACCACCGTCTAGTTGCAGCTGCAATTGCAAAAATTCGCAAAAGTCTGCCGTTGTCGGTGGTGGCGAGGGCGAGTCCGGTGTCAGGCAACTGCTGGAAGGACTCGATGGACTCGCCTCGGCGTCGGCATCTGAGACGGAGGCCGCGCCTCCGCTGCATTCACGGTACGAGTCGAACAATTCGCCAGAATCGAGAGGCTAGAAACAAAGTTCCAGTCGCCAAGTGCGTTTTACGCGAGTTACGTGATCCAACGTTAACATCGATTACGTACACGCGTCTCTCATGTCAACAAATATCTACGGTATGGTAGTAGAGGTATGTGCATGTATAATATGTAAGTTTTGTAAGTATATCTCTAAAATATATGAATAAAAAGCAGTGAAATTCACCATTTGCTCCATCAAAGCATCTTCTAACGGCGACAACGGTGGTGGCGGCGGCGGAGGGGACGAGGAAGAAGACGGAGAATCACCTTCCGCTCTCTTGATCCTTTCCGGTAGCGCGGCTATTATTTGTTCGGCCAACGTCAGCACCCTCGCGTCTTCTTCCCCTATAAAAAGGAATCACCACCCTAGCGAAGATTGTAAAGTCTTATCCCGAACCGCCGAAACCACACCGATCACAACACCGAAGTTTTAAAAGCCGTTAACGTACGATGAGCCACATCTCATGTCAATAAAACGTTTAACACCAAGACTCGCCGTTATTCGTATTACACCGGTTAAACGGCTGCGATAATACAGACCGACATCTTGAAGAAAGAGGACACCGGTGTTGACAATTCCCTCAGTTCCTTCATAGACAGATATCACTCTCGTTAGAGCGACGTTTTTCCGATGATTTTACGAAACTTCTCTATTAGCCACCTTTTCCTCATCTTTTCGTTCGATAGATTCTCTTTGTCCTTATTAGTATTATTATTTCTATTATTACTATTATGAGTATTATGATTATTAATATTAATAATTGTACGGTTGAAATAAAAGTTTCGTATAGGCGATACCCTATTCACACGAGGTACGACCCGACGCTCGTCCCGTACGAATGAGAGATCATCGTCGTCGTTGTCGTCGTCGCTGTAGTCGTCTTAGAGAAAAAATCATCGGCAGCGGCCGAGAAGGTGTTAATAGGCGGCTAAGAAAGTTAGACTTTTATACAGCAATCATATCCAACACCAGCATTTACGAAGGCCAAGCAACACCAATACTGCTCAAGCTGCAAGAGTTTCAGAGGAGTTTGAGGATAAGTGAGCCTCGACCGCCTGGTCGTCGTTTAGTACGTAATACAGAGACAGAGAAAGAGATCGTGTTTAAAAAGTAAGGGGTTCGCTGTATTAGCTAGGATATATCTACGGATTCAAAGGCCACGCAATACTGTCATTGTCGGATGGTAGTAAGATCTATCGGCGTGTGTCAGAAAAACAGATTTACGGATAATTACAAATAGATAGATACAGGCAGACAGACAGACAGACAAACAGAAGGGGAAACGAGGAGGGTACGGACCTACGGTCTCTTGAGGGGTCGGAGCGCTCTCCATTCCCTGATCGCCGAGGCCTAACGACGACTCATCCTCTTGCAACAATTCCATGTTGTCCAGGAGCGGGGAACCACCTGTGTTTTTGCGATAAACCCCTTAATACTACTCGTTTGCCTCTAATGATATTACACTCGCACAACTTACGGCCTTTTATACTTTCTAGGATTGATTTACTGTTCGGACGGGGCTGGTATGGGAGGCTGGTGGGGAGGGATTTTTTTCAAATAGAAGGAGTGATTTGATTTGATTTGATTTGATTTACGTGTGGATATTAAGTGTGTATGCGCGTGTGCACGGAGAAAGGGCAGTATAATAGCAAACAAGACTAACACAACGCCAGATCGAGACCGCTGTCTTGAGAAGGCCTCCTAGGGCTAGGGCTGGCTGGTCGCAAGAAAAGCCTCTCATCTTGCCTTCTGGCTTCGAGCCGATTCAGTTCTTCGGCGATTGCCGTGTGTCCGTTCTCTGCTGCTAGCTCGGTTGCGCTTCTGTTTTGACGATCCCTCACGCGCAACGCCATCGCATTCCATCTGCAAAACCGAACGACGAAACGAACGTTTCATCTTTCATTCAGCCACCTTTTTATTCATGACGACATCGTTCGACCAATGGTCGATGCCAACCTATAAAGGATTCTAGCGGTATCAGCATGACCAGCGGCACAAGCCCAGGCGAGCGGTGTCAATCCAGCACTGTCTTGTCTAAGAGCATCCACTTCAGCATCCAATACGTTACTCGGATTTTCGGCCCTCCAATGTAGCAACGCGCAAGCTAATCTAGAATATCCCAATCCTGCTGCCAAATGTAACAGGGTCGGTCCACCTGATTGAAGAGCTTCGGCACCGACTCTCCACGGACGAACGACAGCATCCTAAAGGAAAACCCCATCGTTAGTGTCTCCTCCATTGAAATTCTACAAGAATTGTGCCCTCGTTAAACGTACCTGGCAATAAGCCACCAATCGTTCTTCCAGGTGAGCCGCTGGGGACGGCGGACCTGGTCCTTGCAATCGAGATTCCACATCCGCCAATCGATCCAACAATGCTCTTTCTGGATTCGGCTCGGTTGTAGGTGCTCTTCGATATTCAAAAGCAACGCTGTCCGATACGACAAATCCATCGCATGCTACCTGAAGAGACGCGATACCTGGAGCATGGGCAGGACATTGGCAACGCAATACACCAGGTTGAACCAAACACGCCTTCACTGGTTCCGCGTCAAAAAGCACCGAATAATTCTGCGAGCCGTTCCCACCTGTCCATGGACCGGCAACCAAAACCTACGAGTATTTGAAAAATTAATATAAATACATCAATAACCTTGACACACGATATACAAATCTTGTTGAATATTTGATATGCGTACTTTGACTCCACCCTCGGTATAACTCCACTCAGGACTGTATTCTGCGATCTGGACGGTTGTCCCAGGCTGACATCCAACATCGTTTTCAGGTCCACCTCTGATATCCGGTTTCGTATCTTCTGCCTCGAAATCGTGTAATTCCGGTAGATCCCCAAACACGTCGAAGGCATCCAAGTTGATAAGAACATCGTCGGAGGAATCGATAAAGTCCATCGGATTTATCATGCTATCGTCTGCGGGTGAGGGTGACGGGGAGGGCGGAACCATGTTTGCGGATAACGTCCTCTGAATATCTTCTTGACTCAAGTCTAACATCTTAGCGAAATCTGTGACCTCGGAAGCTGAACTGGTGATAGGTAAGGATTGAACAGTTGATCGATCCATGCTATCCTGTGCATCGATCTCTTGCTGTGTTTGTTGTTCTCTATCGACGCTAGTTTGCTGAACGATTTGTTGCTCCGTCACTTGTTGCATTTCCACTTGCTGACTCTGCTGTTGCTGTTGTTGCTGCTGCTGCTGTTGCTGCTGCTGTTGTTGTTGTTGTTGTTGCTGCTGCTGTTGTTGTTGTTGTTGTTGTTGCTGCTGCTGTTGTTGTTGTTGTTGTTGTTGTTGTTGTTGTTGTTGTTGCTGCTGCTGCTGCTGCTGCTGCTGCTGTTGTTGTTGCTGTTGTTGCTGCTGCTGTTGTTGATGATGATATGGTTGACTGTTAAGTATCAGAAGACCACCTCCACCTTGAATTTGTTGCAAACTTAAAACTAAAGGAGCCGGTTGCTGGCTCTGAGTCGAATGGGAATGTCTAGAATATACACGTGGAGCCGGCGAAGCTGTTGTTGAGGGCTGCTGACCGCCGGTCGTTGATGAAACCTGTTTGGTATAGTATCGACTTAACTATTGATGCGATACTGAAAATATCTAAATAATTCCAACTATTTTCTACTTCTAACCTGATTATCTGGTGTTAATCTTCTGGGTGCAAGTTGTGCGCTACTGCTAGAAGAAGTAGACGATGCCCTCTGTCTATCTAGCAATTGCGAAACGATCATGTCAACCGGATGAGTGGAGTGTTGTGTTAAATGAGGATTATTTGGATCATCGTCTCCACCGAGGAACATGGGCCTTAATTGAGAAGCTAATTCGTCCCGCGTCCATTCCTTCTTGTCTGGTGGCAATGCAAGACACGTTGGCAATGCCGCTAACTTCGCATCGCCGTCCGGATATGGAACGTTCAGGTAATGGACGAGAACAACGTCTGGATTCTGAAGGAGCCAATAGCATCTCCTATGAAACGTTGGTAGGATCGCCGAATGCACATAACAACCGTAGATACATTCGACGCCTTGGACCTAAGATTTCACATTCACAAAATTACTTTTATTAATCATACGTACAGAAATGTATACCTAAACGTATATTTAAATGACAATGACCTTAAGTTTCATGTGATCCTCCCGCGTGGTTTTACCATCCTTTCGTTTTTTCCAACAGTAACCATCTCGCCGATAGCGAACCTTTTTTCTCGAGTAAAGCAACATCGAGCCACTTCGAGGTCTAACTTTAACTTCCCGACTTTGCCACTCGGTGTGCCTTTGAAAGCTTATCAGGATGGCGGCAATTTCCTAAACACACAAATAACTTCCATTACGAAATATTCCTCGATCCGTGTTCTAAAATTCACAACGTAACGTACGTTAAACAAACGTAAATACGCAAGAGTTGTAATATTGATCGCAATGTTATAATAAAAAGAACTCTCAAAGGATAAAAGTTATATAAGATTTTGGTGTTATTTCTTTATCGGCGCACAAAAAGCGCGAGTAGAATATTCGAGTATACTGTTCCGTAGATTTTTATCAAGCTAGAGAGGACATGATTTAGGAAGGTGGAAGTCGGCTTCCTAGTATTGATTGGGTGTAGCCCCAACGGAGTCCTTCATTTCATTCACGCCGTGACGCCGCGCATCGGAAGGTGCTTCGAACATGTATGCGATCGAATCGAGGACTGCTTAAAACGAAAAGAATAAACTCAATTCTAAGGAGCCTAGGTGTGTGTGTGTGTGTATGTGTGCGTGTGTATGTACATATATGTATAGATGTATGTAGTATTCTGGCAAGCTCGCTGACACCTTCCTTTTCTCGAGGATTTGGCTTCTCCTCGCGAATCGCGCTGATATATTGCTGATCTTCCTTCCAATCCTCGTCTTTATCTCACTAAAGGTGATACGAATCTTAGAAGAGATTCGTCACATAGAAAATATTCGCATACATTTCACTATCAACGCCTCCGGCAACTTTTTGCACAATAAGATCCGCCACGTCAACAAGTATGCGCATAGTAACAGTTGCCTCTCTCTATTCGATTCAACTATTCACCGGTCCTCCTCTTCATCTATCATTTTCTGTCATACATGTAATATCTTTTCTTTCTTCTTCCTCTCTTCTATTTTTCTTTGTTATACTTGTAAAAAGAAGATAAGAATATTTCCAAACTCAGTGTCAAAACTTCTTTAACAATATAATCAGGTTGGAAATCATGACAAAAGTGTTTTAACAATAGGAATATTTTGGTATGAGCTATGATTGTCCCAATGTTAGACACTAACGATAAATATAAAGCAGAAGAATGAAGTACTCGGAAAATACACAGGTGTTCTCTAACGACGGCAGTGAACGAGTCTGGAATATCGAATACTTTTTATCTTTCCTCTGGATTCTCTAACTAGGAGGGCGTGTATCGAACCCTTACCAATACCACTTCCCTTTAAATCGGACCTCTCTAAGCAAATTGTTCCTCTACGTGCTAGTCAACTTTTCCAACCTGCCAAGTGTGAAATAGGTCAGGCAATGGTAGATAATTTGCTTTGGAATATAGAAACTGACAGTTTTCCTACATATGTATCTATGTATGTGTGTATATGTGTATACATATGAACATATATATACAAGGTCGGCTTACCCGCAGCACCAAAGATGCTTTCCAAAAATTTCCGACTGATTCCAATCATGATTGCGAATAGTGGAAGAAAAGCAGCCCATGTTTTTCACGGCCTGATTTACTTTACCGAGAAAAAGAGAGAGAGAGAGAGAGAGAAATAGGCGAAGGATCAAATGGAATACCTCGAGAAATTGGATATTTCCAGGAATATTCTTAAATGTGATAGAATCTGATGGAATCTAGATTGTAAGGTTGATTCGATAAAGAAACTTTTACAACAACAACAAAAGAGAATAAAGTTTCTCCAGAAAATACTTTTATTAAATTGCGAAACAATTTATTATGTATAGGCATGTACATAAAGAAACTTTAAACAAACAAGAAAAAAGGAAAAAGATTTTCTCGATAAGACTTATTAAGTTACAAAAAAAAAAGGGAACAAATTGATGTGAAAAAAGATTTTTTTATTGAATTATGAAACAATTCTTCGCACGCGCACGTGTATATGTTTATGTGTTGGACGACTATGATCGTGTGTATGTTTATACATGATCGACGTATAGGAGAAAGCGAAGTTGATATTCACTTGGAAGAAATTTCATTAATATCGACTGATAATTCAGCGTCAGGGAAGAGATAGAAAATGAGTGACAGTAGTAACGAAGCTGTCTGCAGTCAGGCGATAATGTCATGATATCTACAAATTCTAATTGTTAGTCGAATAGTAGGGATTGAATAGAAGTAGTCAGACAATAAGGAACTCTACATACATATGCTAACGGACAGTAGCAAGAGGCCTGTTCAAACTATTAACTTCGAAATCGTATAGTGAAATCACACGATATTAAACGGTTTATCAGTAGTAACATCGTAAAATAACTCTGACAAGTCGAGAAGTGCAGGATACGGTTAAAACCGTTCGAACAGAAGTAAAGTTGAAATTAGTCTTTGAAATCGTTAGGGAAACTAAACTTTTATTTTATACGATGTATCCCAAGACTGAAAAAAAAAAGTTTTCGTATGTATATATGTGTATACACACGCGATTTAATCGAGAAATATTCGAGTTACCGAGTGTATATTAAAATACTTTATTATTATTGTTCTTGTTATTATTTTTATTATTATTATTATTATTACTATAATTTTACTTTTATATAAGTTGATTATTTCTTGAGATTTATTTGATCATACGAATCGCGTATTTTATAGGATCACGCGAGAAGAAGGAGAACATTTTTAAGCTGACATTCGTAACTCCCCCACGAAGAGTCTAATCTGCGTATGACGATTTGAACAAATAGTATAATAGTATTAATATAATACTAGTAGTAGTAATGCTGGTAGTAGTGGTAATAAGAATTATAAACTTTCGAACGGCAGATGATAGGTGAAACTTAAATGAACGACGAAAAAGTACTAACTATAATTAAACGAGACGATAAGAAACGACATGAAAGAAGAAGAATCTACTATCTTTTAATACCGGTAGTCATGAAAGTCACGAGAAACTCTCTCTCTCTTTCCCTTTTATCGAGTTTAATTATAGTTAAATAATCGATATCGATGTGGCATGTAATTAAGAAGTCCTAAATTTCAATTAATTCTCCTCATATTTTATCCTTGAAACCTAAAAGATAAAAAGAAAGAATATCCAAACACGAAAATATTTCTATCTTAATATTTATTTAATTTCTTTTAACTTTAGGGAAAAAATGTATCTTCGAAATTGTGCATCGATGCGTTCGAATTTGTTCGTTTGTTCGAGAAAAGAGAAAAATAAATAAAAAGGAAAGGGAAGAAAAAAAATAGAGGATATTTCCAAGCTCGTCCGAGAAAATTTGCCAATTTCCTGGCCCCTTTGTAGAGCACTGAATAACAGTGAATGGAGAACGCCCACGCAATTTCTCCGACATCGTCCAATATCGATATTTCATTACCATCCTGTCGGCGTCCCAGTGCCACCATGAACGTCGCCAAAGACGACCACCAGCCCGCACTGCTACAGGTAGAGGAAGGAAGTTACGATAAATCTCTTCTATTTATGTGCCTCCCGAACGTCTCGATAAGAATGTCCTTCACTAATTAACCTTGCTACGCAATTTATCACCGTATCCTGAATCCGAGCTTCTACGTACAAACTACTACATCTTACACACACACTCACATATATATAAACATGTCCAGAATAAAGGAGGAGGGTCGAGGATTTAGAAGAGACATCGTCTTTTACCAAGGAAAATCAAACGACTAGAGAGACGACGACGAAATAATACTAAATGTCCTCCTAAGGGACACACGATTCTTCCTTTTCATTGCATACACACACACACACACACACACACAACTGATATGAACGAGCACGAATTTATAATCGAATAGAACTTTGGAAGTGTCTATCTTTCTGTCTGTCTGTCTCTCTCTCTCTCTCTCTCTCTCTTTCTTTTACCCCACTACTCGGAATAGTCGATGAAATTTGAACGTAGATAGATAGGTACCTGGGTATCTATATGCATGTATATATGTATGTATGCGTACACATATGTACGCGAACGCGAAGGAACAAAACGATGTTAATTGCAGCCGACATTCGCATTGTGTACCGTAGGAAATTGCAAACATTCGAATAGCTACATTTCGACGTCGGTTTCGAGCGGAAATCAATATGCAAAGTCAAACATTGCCTCAAAAACGAATCCCCCGTACAAACGCTGGGATTCCGGCTAAAGCCGAATGCTCTCTCTCTCTCTCTATCTATCTATCTATCTATCTGTCTATCTCTTTATATCTATCTACAATATCTCTATCTCTCTCTAAGTTACATTACGATGCTACTTATTATCTCCGCGGAACTGAAATCCAAGAGTGGCGTAATTAATTTGGATCATCGGTAATGCAGACGGATTCTGCGTCCTCCTCTTCCTCTACTCCGCCATCCCCATCACCACCAGTAACTCGCCCTTCTCATTTTCTATCTTTATCTATCATCATCATCTTATTGTTCAACCTTCCTTTCATTTCACGAACGAATCAAATTGAAAGTTAGCGGTGAAGATCGTGAGATCTATTAATAAATCGTCTTAAGACACAATAGCGAGGGGCCGCTTAAAGTGCCAGTATTTGCATAAAATAAGCTTATTCTCTCCCTCGCACACACAATCTTTCTCTATCTCTCTTTCTCTCTCTCTCTCTCTCTCTCTCTCTCTCTCTCTCTCTCTCTCTCTCTCTCTATCGGCGCGAAAAACACGTTTCGGCACTGCAGACTGATAGTTAATAACCCGAGGTAAAAAAGAAGAAGTTAGTCGTTTGATGGAACGAGAGTACAAAACGAACGACGTGTTCGTAGCCGTAGGTATGTGCTAAAACTTATTACTATAATCATCCTTCGTGTATGCATCCAATGCTGTGGGGGCCTCTATTTTAGTACAAATGGGATTTTATCAGGCGACGGTAATAAAAACCGAAGAACCACGTCAGAAGTCTTTTAGAAGGATATCACCTGAATGTTTTGTGTGCGAAAACCCAAGCCCCCTCTTCTGTCCTCTTTCCACTCATCCCTTTCTTGAATGTATCAAGGACGAGAATAGCTACGTACAATTTTTCGAGAGAAAAATTACTCTCCTCTTTTTTCTTTTTCTTCCTCTTTCTATCTCTTCCTTTTTTTCTTTCTATCTTTCTTTCTTTCTGTCCCACACTTAACTCGTACGTTCTTAAGTTAAAAGAGGCACAAAAAGAGGTACAAACTTCAGAAAAGATCCTCGTCTCTATTTACAACACTCTAATACGCAAGAAAGAATTCTTAGGCTATTTTATCAAAAGACTACTAGAGTTCTTCGACTTACTATGTACAAATCTATATATTTCTACATAGATACATGTATCTATAGACCTGTATGCATCTGTACATGTTCAGTTTGATGAACGTCTAGAAAAATTATAATTAAAGATGTTCGAGATTTTAACCTAGATCCAAGGATACAATTTAAAATTGGGAAAAGAAATATTTTTATTCCGATAGAGAGATGCAAACGAATAATAATAAAAATAATCATAATATGATTCTAGAATAATAATTAAGATTAATCGATGAGAAAAAAATTTACTTTGACCCCGAGCATTATTTTTTCACTGTTTGAGGTAGGAAAAGAAATAAAAAGAAGAAAGAAATAAAGAAAGAGGAGAGTTGGAAAAAGGAAAAGACAGGGAAACTCTATTGAGCTTAAAAAAGAAAAATAAAAGAAAGAGAAAAAAAAGGTCCGTTGAACGTGCATGAAAGAACGGTGGCACGGTGGCCGGGATTTCGGTTCGACCTCATTAACAACATTACACCAGGTTGCAGGGTTGCGTATATACCCGACATCCTCTCTTTGCGTTTCGCCGTAAGAAAAAAAAAAGAAGAAAAGAAAAGAAAAGCACAAAATAGAAAGAAGATACGAGAGAGAAAGAGAGAGAGAGAGAGAAAGAAAAAGAAAGAAAGAGAAAGAGAAAAGATAGGAAAAAAAATGAGAGAGAATTTTCCGTTTTAAGAAGGCACAAGAGGCTACGTTTACACAAAGACTCAAAGACCCGGGAGTGGTTGAAGTGAGAGAAGATGGAGGATGGCAGACTCGAAGTAGTAAAGGAAGAAGAAGAAGAAGAAGAAGAAGGAAGAGGATAAAAGCGGACAGTGTATGTAAGTAGAGATAGGCACATTCTCGTCAGACACCTGAAACTCATCGAGGGTGATCGTCGACGAGTCTCCTCTTTCCGAGCACTTTAATTTCTAGTACCTTTCCGAGCAAGAGAGAGAAATAAGAGAGATAGTAGGAAAATAAGAGAGAGATAAAGATAAAGATAGAAATAAAAAGAGAGAGAGAAAGAGAGAGAGAGAGAGAGAGAGAGAGAGAGAGAGAGAGAGAGAGAGAGAGAGAGTTGTTCCAAGGGCGAGCAACAACCAACATGTAGGTTGACTCCCATCGAGTTTACAAGTAGTATATAACGATAGTCGCAATTCGGTTCGTCAGAAAAAGAGAACGAGAAATAGAAAGAGAAAAGGAGAGAGTAGCTCGAAGAGTGAAAAGCTCGAAAGCTCGACTGGCAGGCTGGCTCTCTCGTTCTCTCGGTCTGCCTCCTGCTATTGATCGGAGGCCGACCGGGGTCAGAGTAGCAGTGGACTACATCGGTATACCTCTCTCTCTCTCTCTCTCTCTCTCTCTCTCTCTCTCTCTCTCTCTCTCTCTCTCTCTCTCTCTNTATACCTCTCTCTCTCTCTCTCTCTCTCTCTCTATGTGTGCACGAAGCTTTACGTTCTCTTCCTCCTCATCCTCATCATCGTCGCCGTGCTCGTGGTCGTCGTCGTATTCGTGGTCGTGGTCGTAGTCGTATTTTGGATATGTGCAGCACTCTTGCAACCAACACACCAATACCGACACTAGTTATCCCTCTCTCTGACCACTAGCAACCACTATCAACGCCCTCGACACCGACAACATCGGCACCGGCACTACTAGGTCCATATGTATAGATGTGTGTATGTATATCTGCTATCAACTTCACCGACCCAACACAACATCGTTCTAACTAGGAACAGTGCTAGAACTCAACCAAACCTAACTAACGACCCTGCTGCTGTTTTATATATATAGACGACGATGAGAATAATATTTGTCTATTTGTTAAGATATACTGATATATCCGAACGAACCCCTTACGCGTGTGTGTATATAATATATATATATATATATATTTTGTAGGCTATCATACTAAAAAGACCAGTGTCGACTGTGAAAAGAAAAAAAATACAAATATAAAAGAGGCTATTCCTTAAAATGCCCATCGGAATTCCGATAATTTCATACCTCGAATCCCCTCCTACTCCTCCTCCATTTCCTCCTCTTTCGTTTCGTTTCGTTTCGTTTTTGCTCTTTTTCAATAATAATAATAAAAAAATAGCGGAAGAGACAAAAATAAACTTAAACCGAGATCTAGTAGATAAACTTTTTTGACTAGATATACAAGATTCAAAATGATTAAACTTATCGTAACACGTCCTGTTCGACTATGTTATCAAAGTGAAATCTAATCTACGTCGTCGCCATCGTTGTTCGTATACTTCCTTGTCATAGAACATCATAAATCATATATGGTTGGTACTCACCTCGTTGGTATTCCATCGGTGTCTTTGCGTGGGAAAATGCTCGGCCCGCGGCAAAGTCTCTAAATTCTCCGGAAGCTTTATGGGATCCCCATCTGGATAAGAATATTTCCAAATTAATTTCTCCTCTGAAACACTGCTGCAATTTTTTGTATTTTATTACATAATTCTCACTCGTAAATCGATTTAAGTAAATTAGAAAAAGTCGTGTGCAATCAACGACGACCCGTATTGTGCGGCTTATCAAATTAAATCATTTCCGATACGCACGAACGAGTTTCTCTTATTTTCTAGAAAATTATAAATAAAAATAAATCGTTAAGGTTGAATATTTGCGTCCAAATATAATTGTATAATATTTTGTAGGATCATCAAATAACATTTTGACATGTAAAAGATACGTACACTCAATCATACGACTGGTTACAATCAAGCATACAGTTAATTCCGTTTTGTATGTTCGTCCACCAGCACGAACAACCGATCGATCCTGACAATTCGTTGGATGGAATAAAACGTAAAGACTTGACATTATTTATCAAAGAACTAAACTTTTTCAACAGCGCGCTTGCGAAATAGTCTAACATTCTGTGTAACATTTCATATACTTTTCGTAATCTTTCGATAAACGTCGTTACTCTTGAGAGGCTTTAATGCACTCTCGAAAGGTATATACTTACTATACGTAAGTAAGTATAATATAATATACATATATATAGTTATACTTACTAGTATACACTAACAGGAATGTATTTACCTCAGGTACAAGAAACCATGAAATTTCTTATATTTTCAAAAATAAAAACGTACGCGAACGAACATATTTTCTTGTATATTTTTGACATTAACATATATTTATTAAAATGCAGCACAAGGTGGTAAGTTTATACATACACAAAATTTTTTCTGGAGAATTTGAATTTCGTCGCAATCGGTTGCCACGACGCGCGGTTTGCCTAATATTTAGAACACACGCATGTTCTATGTATGTATAATGAGAATGGCGAAATGTATAAGTACCAACCGCACACGCTACGTAAATGAGGCCGACGGTCTCATTAAAATCAATACAAATCCATTAGATTTTAAATTGTTTTTGCACCAAACTCTTTAAACTCATAATCAGAAAAAAATTTAAGAAAAAAAATAAATTTGCCCTGTTTAATTGAATACGATCAAATTAATCAGTCGTACACTCGAATTAATCACACACAGTTGTTTAAATAAAATCAATTAAAATTTGTTGAAAAAAAATGTAGATTAACGAAAATCTGTGAACATTGGTATATTTGTGGAAAAAAAATATTTATTCTATTCGACTTATGATAAATAATGAAAAAAAAGTAAAATATACATTCTCATTTAATCAAGCAGTCTCATGTAAAATGATAGAAACGTAGGAAGAAACAACGTGCAGCACGCTTGAACGTTAAGTCCACAATCTGGATTTTCTGGCCGTCGAAAGCAAAACTTCTTGTGTGCAATTTGGCTCGGTTTCTACATTCTCTAACGAAAACTTTAGGTAGTTTAAACCATCGCCGTTTGTAGTTTATGTCGATTCATCTCACTCAAACGGAAATATTACATATACACTGAGAATTAAGTAATTCTTATCACACGGAAAAGCTCGACGGGCGATTGATGAGAGAAAGAGAAAGAGAAAGAGAAAGAGAAAGAGAAAGAGAAAAAGAAAGAAAGAGAGAGAGAGAGAGAGAAAAAAAAAAGGGAAAAAGAAAAAATTGTAATAGTAGGATAAAAATACTTCGACCCTCGTCGGTGCATATTCATTTAACTTTCGTCGACGTTAAGTAAAGCGATGCGGAAAAAAAAATTGAAAAACTATGTCAAGCGTTTTGAAAAATTAAAAGCTTTGCTAGAAAATCTTTAGATACCAGCATGTCGAAGCTAAAACATCTATCTAAATATCAAACTAAATCGACTATTAACATTTATTTAACCGTATAGACAGACAGGAAGCTTTCGCCGACATTCAATGGATAATCGTTTTAAAGCATCGACTATGTGAATTTGCATTTCCTTCTTTCGTACGAGGTAAACGTTTCTAATGTGGTTCTTAGAAATGAAATTAAAAAAGGAACAAAAATGAAAAGAAAATTTAATAATAAGAGTCAAGAGTAATAATACTAAAGAGTCCTTTTTTTATCGTAAAAATTTCAAAAGCCCGGAATTTAATTAAAAGAAGATCTTGAAAAATTGGATAAACCCCATTAAAATAGAGGAGAGAGGTGGATAGAGAAAGAGAGAGAAAAAAAAAAAGTATATCTGAAAATTAAATGAATTAATTTAATAAAGCATAATAAAGCTTAATCTATTGTTATCGATACTCTGACAATAAGTGGTCGATGCGAACTTTGGCTCAAAGTTTGTTTACAATATTTCAATGAATAAATAAATGAAATGCATTGGAAAGGAGATCTTTGACGGTGGTATTTTGTTCAAAGTGCAAAGAAATTTCAAGGTAAGAAGAAAGAAAGCGAAAATTCCCACGACGAGTGACGCTCTATGCTGAAAGGAGAGAGAAGAAGAAGAAGAAGAAAAAGAAGAGAAAAAAAAAGAAAAATATAAAAAAGTAAAAAGAGAAGAAAGAAGAAGAGAGGCTGGGAGACTCACTCGGGGCAAGAGACGTCGGGTGATTCGCGTGGTAGACGACGCGTTGTGCGTTCGTATGATTGTAGTTCGCCATCTCCGTAACGCTCGCTCGAGCGACCTTCGCGTTGATCTTACCGATCGTGGCCGACCGTCATCGTCCTCGACCATACGAGGTTGTAGTGGTGGTAGTAGAGGTACGCGCTCGTTGAGCTCTAGCCGGCATGATGACGTTTGTCGTCGTCGTCGTCGTCGTCGTCGTCGTCGTCGTCGTCGACGTAGAACTCGACGCAGAGCTCAATGTAGAACTCGACGCAGAGCTCAATGTAGAACTTGTAGTTGAGCTCTTATACGAGCTCGTAGCTCTCGCCGTAGTTGGGCCACCGGTCGAAAGAGCCAGCAGTCCTTCTCGCTTGGACGACTGCGCCCTCCTCGTGCTAGCACCAGCTAGCCGATGGAGATCCTCGCTCAGGATCCTAGTAGCAATACTCGCTCGAGAGTCGTTACCGGCGCTGCTGCCGTTCCCAGTGCTGCTGCTTTTATTACTAGTATTGCTACTGCTCTCGGTGTTGCTGTTAATGTTGATGTTGATGTTGCTATTTTTGATGCTCTGACGATGAAGACGATGATTCTCTTTTCGTCAAGACACTTTAATACCAGGATCCAGGATGAAGATACGATCGGCTTGCCGATATCCTTTGCGCGCTAATGTTTGTGCTCGCGTTGGATGGTTCCCTTTGGAACGGCAGGACATATCCCCTGGAGGATTGTGCACACGAGTCAGCTCGTTTCCAAACTTTTACTCTTTTTTTTTTCTATTTCTCTTACACGCACACACTTGCTCGAGATAATACTGCTTTATTTTCCCTTTCTCTCCTTTTTCTCTTCGCGTAGTCGTCAAACACGGTCCTTTTTTTTGGCTCGTTTCGACACTTCCTGTGTCAGGCTTTACCTACACCGAGGACGGTTCTTGTAGCGAGCGCACGTGGAGGCACGAACGTGCTATGGAAACAGTATCGCGCATAGGATCGATCCTCCACCTCCTCCTTCCTACTCTCCTTCCTCCTACCTCCTGCTGCTGTTTCTCTCACTATATATATATATATTTCCCTTTATCTATCGACTGTCTATAGCAATTCGATGAGAGATACTCTTCGCTGATACACTTCCTCTTCCTCTTCCTCTTCTTAAAATTCTTCGATCTAGTATAAAAAACTGGAGCCCCGCTCTTGGAGGGTAGGTCACCCTTTCTAGCAAAGTCTTACCCGATCCTTTCCTTGTTCCTCCCTTTTAAGAGAAGCAACTTACTCTCCTCCTCTATCAGCTTCTTCTTCTTTTATCGTTATTGTCCCTTTCTAATTCGCTCACTTTCCTTCAATCTCTACCGGTCTCTCTCCCTTTTTGTTGTGCGCTCCGAAACTCTGTTCTTCTTATATCCTAAGTTACAACACTGAACCTGTCCCCAACCGGAGGGACAAAATAATGTAAGGATCACACAGTTACAGAGAGAACTCAAAACGGAGATTCAGAGTCGACGCGTTTTCCTTTACTTTACTTTACTTTACTTACTTTCTTCCTTCCTTCCTTCCTTCCTTCCTTCCTTCCTTCCTTCCTTCCTTCCTTCCTTCCTTCCTTCCTTCCTTCCTTCCTTTCTTCTTTCGTTGTTTAAACTTTTCCTTCGTTATCTCGTGGCACGTGCTAGCTCGCCTTCTCCAATGTTTCCTTCCTTCCTTCCTTCCTTCTAATTCACTCCGCGACGACTGGAGAAGAGTCAAAAAGCAGAGGAATCTCTGTATTTTATTATATTTTCTCCTAATCGCTCGACTCGTTCATTAGGCGTTGTTCGTCTTTTGATAATAATCAGGATGCTGATATCTCTCTCTCTCTCTCTCTCTCTCTCTCTCTTTCTACCACCTCCCTCTATCTAACTCTCTCCCTCTCTCTCTCTCTTTCTCCTCCGTTCACAGGCCGGTAGGACGCGATTGCCGTCGAAGAGGCACTCGCGTCGGTAACGTTAAAACCCCTTCCTTCCTGCCTTCCTTGCTTCCTTCCTTCCTTCCTTCCTTCCTTCCTTTCCTCAACAGCCGCGCGCGTGCTCCTTCGATTATCCTTTCTCGTATTTAAAAATACACAAGACTTTTTCTTAAAAAGATTTTCAATAAGAAGATAGTAGAAGTAGTAGCAGGCTTTTAAGAGCTTCTTAAGGAGAAGTACAACGTGACGTAATTTTGTTTGTTTATATATTCGCGTGTATTTTTAATATAGTTTCGTGTTGCCGTTGTTGTTCTTGTTGCCTTTTTAAAAGTGTTATTTACAAATATGTATTTGTTTTGTTTATGTGTTTTAATAAAATAGTTCAAATTAGTCTTTGGCCCCGCGTGTCTGCTCCCGAGCGGCGGGAGCCGCAGAGTGATCCAGCCCGCGACTCCCGAGCTTTCCGCTCCTCGTCCTCGTGTCCCCTCCCCTCTTTTCCTTCTTCCTTCAGCAC